GGAGAAGGTCTATGGCACAGTCGTAGGGACGATGCGGAGGTAGAGAGGTGGCCCGGGACTTACAGAAAACCGCACGAAGATCGCAGTACTCCGCCGGGACGCCGGTCAAGTCAGCAGGATCCACCTGTGAAACACAAGACACAGAGACAGCAGGGAAAGCAGCACCCAAATATGACACATGACAAGACTGACTCCAGGTTAAAGTAGAATTATTGACCCAATCAATATGTGGGTTGTGTTTCAGCAACCAAGGATGTCCTAAAATTAATGGGGCCTTAGGGGAGTCAATAATTAACAGTTCGATCTGCTTACAGTGGTTACCAGAGAGGGAAAGGCTTACACGAGGGGTGACGTGAGTGATGGTGGTGAGGGGATTGCCCGCTAATGACCATGCCGTAATGGGCTTAACCAGGGGAATGGTCGGAATGTTCCACTTGTGAGCAGAGGCAGAATCCAGGAAATTCCCCTCAGCCCCCGAATCCAGAAGGGCGTGGCCAGTGTGTGAACCTCCCTGGAAGGAGAGTCGAAAGGGCAACTGAGTGCGCGTTACTGGAGAGCTTGAACAGGGAAAGGCGCCCACCAGGACTCTCCGCTTCACTGGTGGGCCCTGACTTTTAACGGGCACTGAAGGACAAAGTGGCCAGCCTTGCCGCAGTACAGGCACAATCCCTGAGCTAAACGCTCCTGTTTCTGCTGCGGCGTAAGCCGGAGACGACCCAGTTGCATGGGCTCAACATCAGCTGACTGTGGACTCGCCGCATCGGATGACGCGGACTCCAGGTGGCGCCACGGAGTAGTGGATTGACGGCGTTGCCGGCGGCGGTTGAGACGGCCCTCCACACGGAGCGCGAGATTAATCAAATTGTCCAGCTCTCGAGGAAGATCCACAGTCGCTAATTCGTCAGCGATGACATCATCCAGTCCCTCGAGAAATCGCGCGCGTAGCGCGCCCTCATTCCAGCCGCAAGCCGCCGCTAGAGTCTGGAACTGTATGGCATAGTCGGTGACTGAGCATCTCCTCTGAGACAGCCGAGACAGCTGAGCCGCCACCTCATCTCCCTGGGCTGACCGGTCGAACAGCTTCGCCATCTCCTGGCGAAAATCCGCAAAAGTAGCACAGCAGGGAGCCCGCGATCTCCATACGGCAATTCCCCATTCGCGGGCGCGACCCGAGAGGAGAGTGAGGACGTATGCCACCTTAGCCTCCTCTGTGGCGTAACGTCGAGGCTGCAGTGGGAACACCAGCGAACACTGGGAGAGGAAGGCTTGGCAGGCATTCGGATCGCCATCATACACCGGAGGATAGTTGGCATGCGGTTCGGGGTCCAGAGGAATACCAGCGCGGAGGACGGGACCCCGGTTAGCCGCCTCCCGTACTGAGCATCTCCTCTGAGACAGCCGAGACAGCTGAGCCGCCGCCTCATCTCCCTGGGCGGACCGGTCGAACAGCTTCGCCATCTCCTGGCTAAAATCCGCAAAAGTAGCACAAACCCGCGATCTCCATACAGCGATTCCCCATTCACGGGCGCGACCCGAGAGGAGAGTGAGGACGTATGCCACCTTAGCCTCCTCTGTGGCGTAACGTCGAGGCTGCAGTGAGAACACCAGCGAACACTGGGAGAGAAAGGCTTGGCAGGCATTCGGATCGCCATCATACACTGGAGGATTGTTGGCATGAGGTTTCGGGGTCCAGAGGAATACCAGCGCGGAGGACGGGACCCCGGTTAGCCGCCTCCCGTTGAAGATCATCGACGCGCGTGAGGAGCTCAGCGACTCGGGCATTTAGCGCGCCCACCTCTTGCGCTGTGGTGTTGAGCTGGGTAGCGTGCTGCCCCAGCAAAACTCCCTGTTGCACAAGAGCAGAACGAAGCGGATCCGATCCTGCTGAACCCATCTTTGGTCAGATTGTTGCCCGCAGAGTCCCAGGGTAGGCGGATGCCGGAGGAAGCCCACGGGATCCTGAACACACAGAGAGGTGCGGGAAATCAAACAGGCAGCTACGAGCACTGGAGCCTGGACGAGACAAGACAGGACTGGTAAGCGATACTAACACTGACAGTCAGAGCAAGGGAATAATCACAACGATCTGACAAAAGACAGAGAAACACGAGGAGCTATAAGGGGAAGCTAATGAGACAACCAGAACAAGGTGTGAACCAAGAGGTGAGCAGAGAAACAAGGAGGGCAGGGAAACAATCAACGCTTTTATCCAAAGCGACTTACAAATGAGGACAATAAAAGCAGTCAAAACTAACAAAAGAGCAACAATATATAAGAGCAAATGACAAGTCTAGGTTAGCTTAACGCAGTACACGTAGCAAGTTTTTTATATATATATATATATATATATATATATATATATATATAAACACACACATACACAAAAAGAAAAACAAGTAAATAGAATAGAAATATAGAAAGCTAGTGTTAGGTTTTTTTTTATAAAAAAGAAGACAAATAGATAAAGTAGAATTAAAATAGAATAGAAAGTGATTGAGTTAGAGGGTCAAATAAAGATGGAACAGGTGTGTTTTTAGTCATTTGTTGAAGATGATCATAACTCTGAAGTAGTGCATTTAGGTAAAGGGGTGCAGAGCCAGTGGTGGTTTTGTAGGCAAACATGAATAATGTTTTATGCGAGCAGCTATTGGTAGCCAATGCAAATTTTGTAGAGGTTTGATAGAAGTGGCTGGAAGACCTGCCAAGAGAGCATTGCAATAGTCCAGCCTGGATAAAACATGAGCTTGATCAAGGAGTTGTGTTGTGTGTTGTGAAAGAAAGGGCCTGATCTTCCTAATGTTGTATAAAGCAAATCTGCAGGACCGGGCAATTTTAGCAATGTGGTCTGAGAAATTCAGCTTATCATCAATCACAACTCCAAGGTTTCTAGCTGTTTTTGAAGGAGTTATGTTTGATGAGCCTAACTGGATGGTGAAATTATGAAGTGATGGGTTTGTTGAAACCAAAAGCAGTTCTATTTTAGCCAGGTTGAGTTGAAGGTGATGGTCCGTCATCCAACAAGAAATGTCTGTTAGACATGCTGAGATGCGAGCAGCTATCGTCAGATCATCAGGATGGAATGAGAGGTAGAGTTGAGTGTCATCAGCATAGCAGTGATAAGAAAAGCCATGTTTCTGAATGACAGAACCTAGTGATGCCATATAGACAGAGAAGAGAAGTGGTCCAAGAACTGAGCCCTGAGGCACCCCAGTAGCTAGATGTTGCGACTTGGACACCTCACCTCTCCAAGATATCTGAGAGATAAGACTCAAACCACTGAGTGCATTTCCTGAGATGCCATTTTCCAGTAGGGTTGACAGGAGGATCTGGTGGTTCACCATATCAAACGCAGCGGACAGATCCAGCAAGATAAGTGTAGAAGATCTGGAAGCCGCTCTTGCCAGTCTTAGGGCTTCAACAACTGAGAGCAAAGCAGTCTCGGTCAAAATGTCCACTTCTGAAGCCAGATTGGTTGTTGTCCAAGAGGTTGTTCTATGTGAGAAAATTACTGTATTGTTATATGTTATATTGTATTACTGTACACTTAAGTTGCACACTATTACTGTACACTTAAGTAAGTTGCCTTGACACTTACATTATTACTCAACAAATGGCAATCCCTAGGCAATCCCTAGAACCATACTGTACCACACTTATAGAGTAACATCTCAACTTATATCATGGCAAATTTGGAGTCTCAGACGCTCTAACAGCAACAATGGATCTTCTTAAAACCATTAGGCCAAGAATCAATTATTTTTCTGTGATTCCTTGGTTAATGCCATCAGTCATATGAGTGGTTTCAATTTCCACCCGACTAGATTTTCCACTTTTTATAATTTTGAAACTTTTCCTACAGCATTTATTTGATCTTTTCCAAATTTGCCTCAAATAATCTTGAAACCATATTGATCTTAAGATTTAAAACAATTGTTTGGCATATTGAAATTGAAACTTAAAGGGATAGTTCACCAAGTTCTGTCATTAATTACTCACCCTAATGACGTTCCAAACCTATAAGAACTTCGTTCAACTTAGGAACACAAATTAAAATATTTTTGATAAAATCTGAGAGCTCTCTGACCCTCCATAGACAGTAACGCAACTGAAATGTTCCCAGACTCAGAAACGTAGCAAGGACATCATTAAAATAGCCCATGTGACATCAGTGGTTCAACCGTAATTTTACGAGGCTACACGAATACTTTTTTGTGCACATAGAAAAGAAAATAACGACTTTATTCAACAATTCTTCTCTTCCAAATCACGTCTTCCACCATTATCGAGAGTACCTCTGCATGTAAACAATGCATGCATGTGGTGCTGCATCATGGAACTCTCCATAATGGCGGAATACGTGATTTGGAAGAGAAGAATTGCTGAATAAAGTCGTTTTTTTTTTTCATTGCGAACAAAAAGTATTCTCGTAGCTTCAGAAAATTACAGTTGAACCACTGATGTCACATGGACTATTTTACCGACGTCCTTACTACGTTTCTGGGTCTGGGAACATTTCAGTTGCGTTGCTGTCTATGCAGAGTCAGAAAGCTCTCTGATTTCATCAAAAATATCTTAATTTGTGTTCCGAAGATGAACTAAGGTCTTACAGGTTTGGAATGACATTAGCGTGAGTAATTAATGACAGAACTTTCATTTTTGGGTGAACTATACCTTTAACATGGAAACACACCCTTTGAGATACCATAAGAGTTTGGGGGCATAATTACTTGTCAAAACTTATAATGGTTAAACTGCAACTTTGCAATAATTGACATAAAAGTCTAGTGCTTTATTTCTTTGGATCATGCTTAATGCGGTGTACATAATCTTAGCGATGTCCTTGGCCCCATAATTGCAGCTTGCAGCAATATTTTCTTACTTCTTACTTCTCCTCAGATACTCATTACTGTGTGTGTGTGTGTGTGTGTGTGTGTGTGGTGTGTGTGTGTGTTCTCATTCATTCTGTGCAAATTTGATCTCTTCATCTTCTTATTCTTCAGGTGGAAGCGGCCACAGATTCTGAGACAGATAGTAAAGGTCTCCCACAGTATCAGTCCGTGGGTATCCAGGTGGAGGATGAGAAGAGGTAAGTTTACAGGATATTTGGTCTGTAGAACTAAGGTTATCATGAATTAATAATCCTTTTAAGTCCAGTAGCTCAGGAAAATAAGCAAAGTGAAACAGTGTATAGATAAATACATATATTTATATATTTTCTGTGTGTAAGCACATAAACTGCTCTCTTTAATATTGTCACTCTTATGTTTATTTTCAGACTTGGCCGCTTTAAACGGTCCAACAGTGTGACGACGGCAGTTCAGGCCGATTTGGAGCTGGAGGGGTTTCCTTCGACCGAAGACAAGAGTCTGCAGTTTGGAGGATTTCAGCGACATTCTGAACCCAGTACGCCCACACAGTACAGCGTGGTTCGGACTGTACGAACACAGGGCCTTTTTAGCTACCGTGAGGATTACCGACCCTCCAGCGGGCCGTCCAGTCCGCAGCCCGAGCCCTGGCTGGTGGAGCCCGCTCATGAAGCAGCCGAGTCCGGCCGTGTGTCACCACTCCACCGCGACGGCAGCTGGTTCATGCAGCTTCTGCACAGCGAGACCAAAAGGATGGAGAGATGGTGCAAAGACATGGAACGTGAGGCGGAGGAGCACGACCTGTCAGAGGAGAGTGAGTGTGCAGGACATCAAAGAAACAGATAATGAGTCTAAAACCAACACATTCTCAGTTGGTAACAATTTTGCGTTTTGGCAAATTGGTGACTTATTCATATGAATTCATACAATCTAATATTCATATGATTCACATTGGACAAATTCATACAAAATTGCCACCTTGTAACATTAGTTATGTGTTCACGTGACATTGGGCTGGTCTAATCAGTTCTTACTAAATTCTGTATTTAATAATTAAAAATGTATACAAATATATAAATTATATAAAATGTGTGTGTGTGTATATATATATATATATATATATATATATATATATACACACACACACATTTTATATAATTTATATATTTGTATACATTTTTAATTATTAAATACAGAATTTAGTAAGAACTGATTAGACCAGCCCAATGTCACGTGAACACATAACTAATGTTACAAGGTGGCAATTTTGTATGAATTTGTCCAATGTGAATCATATGAATATTAGATTGTATGATAAGTATTGAACACATCACCATTTTTCTCAGTAAATATATTTCTAAAGGTGCTGTTGACATGAAATTTTCACCAGATGTCGGTAACAACCCAAGTAATCCATACATACAAAGAAAGCAAAACAAATAAGTTCAGAAATTAAGTTCTGTGTAATAAAGTAGAATGACACAGTATTGAACACATGCAAAAAGGCATGGAAAGCCAAGACACCAGCTGAAATCAGTAATTAGAAAGCAATCCTGCCCCTTGTCAGTTTAAATTAATATTAGTTGGTTCAGTCCCAACTGATGGCCTATAAAAAGGTGTCTCATGACCAACGTGTCACACAAGAAACATTTCATGATTGGTAAAAGCAAAGAGCTTTCTCAAGACCTTAGCAACCTTATTGTTGCAAAACATACTGATGGCATTGGTTGCAGAAGGATTTCTATACTTCTGAATGTTCCAGTGAGCACTGTTGGGGCCATAATCCGGAAGTGGAAAGAACATAATTTCACCATAAACCGGCCACGACCAGGTGCTCCTCGCAGGATTTCTGACAGAGCAGTGAAAATAATTATCAGAAGAGTTGTCCAAGAGCCAAGGATCACTTGTGGAGAGCTTCAGAAAGACCTGGAATTAGCATGTACTATTTTTTCAAAGAAAATAATAAGTACAATAAGTAAGTAATGCACTCAACCGCCGTGGCCTGTATACACGCTCACCATGCAGGGCTCTATTGCTGAAGAAAAAGCATGTTGAAGCTCGTTTAAAGTTTGCTGCACAACATTTAGACAAGCCTGTGAAGTACTGGGAGAATATAGTCTGGTCCGATGATACAAAAATTGTACTCTTTGGATGCCATAATACACACCATGTTTGGGGTCAAATGGCACTGCACATCACCCCAAAAC